AAATATATATATTTTTTCTATACATTAATTAGTGAAATGTTCCTCATTTAACACCCAAGTAAAACGACCTCTAACATGACATTTTCACCCAATTCCATCCTATTGATTTTAGACAATCGATACAAGATTTTTAATTTCACACATGGAATTCCTATTTACCTCAACATCTTCCTACAACAGTGAAATCCCCACAAACTATTATAAATTTGGTCCAAGAATGTAAAATTTAGTGGTTTTGAGTTTAGCATTTATGGTCCACTATTTCAACCTATTCAATTATGAAATCAACTCATTCCTACACAATGCTTAATTTAATTTATGTTCTCAATATATATCAACTTTTAAATGGAAAAGCAAAAATTAATCTAAATGTGCAACTTATTCACCATTCATAGACCCATTTATGATTCAATATATTCATTATTGCCAGCCGGGCCAACTAACTCACACAAGTACACAAAATTTTTTTTTCACTAAAATAATGAAAGCTCATGTTTTCCACCCCCAAACTTAAATTAGACATTGTCCTCGATGTCTTTAATTCTAAATCTGCATATAAAAGTGTGGAAAAGAAAGTGAAGAAAAGACTCCCCTGATATGGCGTGTAATTCAATAGCTAGCTTCCTATTGCTCCATTTGGCTCCTTGGTACATATTGGCTTAAATGTTCCACGACTTCGTGTTCCTGAAAAATCAAATAAAGTATTAAGATCAAATAATTAGATCAAGTATTACTTATCTCTAACATTTAATAAACCCATAAACATATAAAAGACCTAAGGGGAAACAAGGTATAGATTATGAATCAAAAATAACTTAAAATAAACTAAATTATCCTAAAACTCAAAAATAAAATAAAATAAATAAATAAATAAAAAGAAAGCATGTGTTTCCTCCCAAGAAGCACTTATTTAAAGTCATTAGCTTGACTTTTTGCACAAGTGTGTCATGGTACTTTAAATATTGCTTTGGAGGCCCTGCTTAACTTGCTCAATTTAACTTTATTCCATATTGCAATTTTTCTCCGAATTTTAGCGTTGCTCTTCTCCATGTAGTATGACTTTACCTCATTACCCATTTCGAACTCAACAATATATACTTCAATCTCTTCATAAGGTTTAATCACAAAATCCACTCTCATCACCCGTTTTGAATTCAACATATATACTTCAATCTCTTCATAAGATTTAATCACAAAATCCATTTTTGAGCAAACGATGAAGTCTAGGATTTCCTCTTCTTTGAATGTTTCAAGTTCTTTTTTGCCCATTGTGATTAATTTCTCAATTTTTCCAGGCTCCTCATCTTTAATTGAATTTTTCTCGAGTTCAACGTTTGTATCCAAAACTTTTAGCACAGAGACAATGACATATTCATTGAAAGTCTCATCCTCTTGATGTATTTGTCGGTTGTTCGGTGAATTTGATTCACTTAATTGATGTTCATTAGTAATCTATAGAAGAAATAATTCCACAGGCAAATCACCATATCAAATTTGTGTGAGAGAAATAATGTAACAGACGAGTCACCCATGACAGTTTCATTAATTACACATTCTACTTTTAGATCTTGTAGTCTCTGTCCTATAATGAAATCTCCCATAAGCATATCTCCCTCAACAATTCCTTCAACTGCCAATTGTTGTTGCCTTATGATGAAGTTACATACGAGCATATTGTTGAAATCAATCTCGGCCATCTTTTATCCTGCTATTTTGTAATCTTCTTTTTTTTTTATATCCCGAAAAAGAAAAAAAACTAAAATAGAAAAAAATAAATAAATAAAAAGAAAATAAACAAATCAAATAATAGTTAAAATAACTAAATTAAGAATAAAGTAAATAGTCCCCGGCAACGACGCCAAAAACTTGTTGCGTTTTTTATATTGCAAGTGTACGATATCGTAACAAGTAATATAGTAGACCTTTGAATCTAGATTATCATTCTCACGAGGACTATACTTTAGTCTTAACCTACTTTTCCTAACTCCTATTTGATAAAAGACAAACAAATATAGGATTGTGATAGTTGTGAATATTGATTTTCTAAAATGAACTAAATGACTAAAACAAATGAAAATCATGATGAAATAACAAACACAAATGGATCAAAGATTCATGTATGTAAGATATATTAGGGCAAAACAATTTCATCTAATTATGTAATCGACTATTAGGGAGGTCACTATAGGGCTTCGGATACCCATATATTTTGTACGCAAAAAACCAGTAAGGAATTGCAACAAAAGTTTGTTGAAAATGAAGTAGGTTTGATGTTGTCAATTCGTCTATTTCAAAAACATTACCATATGTATAACGTAGTGATTACTTTTGCATCCCCTCTGTCGTAGGAGAACAAAGATTACAAAGAATTCAAAGACAAAGACTGCATAGAGGTTTACAGTTACAAAGCTTTGTTCGGGGACACTTTTGACAGCAAAAAGTACTTAATCACACCAACGAAGCTTTGTAGAATTGGTTTTAGATGTTTGAAGATAGGGGATACAAAGACCACTGTGACGAGGTACCACTTGATGATAGAGCAGTGGCTCCAGTGACGATGCCTATAAAATGAGTATGGCTAGTGTGGGCATGGATCTTTTGGGTCTGTGAAGTGGCGATAAACGTAGATCGGTGAACACGAACAAAAAAGAAAAGAAGAAAAAATAATATCAATAGAGAACTTTCCTACTTCGTTGATCGCTCGACCACTGCAAGTGAGAAGGTCACGTCAACAATTGACAGTTTAGTTTGGCCTACGTCCCGGACGCGAAATCGTGCTTGAATGAGTTGTTGGGGATGGGAGATTGAAAAAGAAAAATGGTCTTTATTACTGGATGTGCACGTTCCTCTCTTTCAGCCACAATCGAGAGATGTTGGAGATTCAGGACGACGTACATGAAAATTTTGAGTGGGTTGAGTGGAACTGGCAAGAGTACAGAAAATCAAAACCACAGTGAGTGTAGTTTGTTTTATGAAATTTTTTTTCCATAATCCAAATTGTTTGACGTGAATACATTTTTCATTATTATTATCAGTTCGTGTACGTATGCGTGATGAACTTATGCATGCTATGTCACTATCAAATCAGAAGAGCTAGATTCACATAAATTTTTCACATGCATATGTACAACATGTAGACACTTGAAGGTTGCTTTTATCTTTTCAATCAAGTACTGCAGAAAACATTATCACGAACAATCACAAGCATATTTCGTTTTATTTTTTTTCATGGTTGTACACTAGACTGCAATGCATCAATCATTCTATGTGCTTAAAACTATCTCAAGTCCCAAATTGTATAAAAGGGAATACAAATCCACAAACGTATCTGTATTCCCAAGCCTGGTAGCTAAACTTTCCTATCTTCCTTCAATTATAGTGATACATGAGTCATGTCTACATTGTAATAGAGAGTAGTGTGATGGCAAATTTTGATTTCAACTATGTTTTGATGCTCGATTCCAAATCTGAAGATTAAGTTGGGGGAGAGGCATTTCTGGAAGAGCTATAGAAGGATATTATCGAATGGAAAATTCAATACTATCGGATCACCGAACTTGCCATACGAAACTACTATCTCGAACAAAGACTTCGTATTCGTAGATTTCCATTAGTGGGAAACGTTCATATGTTCATGTTTGACGCTATGCAGTGTAGTCCGCAATAGTGTTAGGCAGAATTTCGAATATATCCATCAATGCTCCGAACTTTTGCACATATTCTTCGCGATAAGTATGGACTGCGCACTGGGCAACACATAGACATATATGAACAAGTGGACATGTTTTTTTTTTGTATTTTAGCACATGGAAAAGGCTATAGACAAGTTCAAATGTTTTTCAATCATTCATTGGAAACTATAGGGCACTACTTCAAAATTGTGCTTCAATTTGTTGTTGAATTCTCTGCTCGTCTAATTCGACCAGATCCCAACTACAATCTCGGTGTCGAGCATCACGTACCAAATCGGAACAAGCATCCAATGTTCAAGAATTGCATAGGTGCAATTGACAGCACACAAGTCAGAGTCGTCCACCCACCCAATGAACGAGTTAACTTTATTGGATGCGAAGGAATTCCTACGCAAAATGTCATTGTGGCATGTAATTTTAACTTGTGTTTTACATTGTGCTCGCAGGTACGATGGGGAATGCACATGATACCCACATTTTGGTTCGTGCTATACACAGCCCTAATATTGATTTTCCACAACCAGCAGTGAAAAATATTATCTGGTTGACTCGAGATTTGCCTATTAACCTGGGTACATGGCTCCTTATAAAGGATCCGATATATTGCACAATTTCCAACAATTTTATGACGAGGACACCGAACGTAGGTGCAAATTCAGAAATGCATGTGAGAATTTTAATTTCAAACACTCGTCATGAAGAAATGTAATTGAACGTGCATTCGGAGTTTGAAAAATTCTCAATCGTATGCCTAGCTATAATTTCAGAGCGCAGATTGTTCTTGTAATAGCAACTATGGGTATTCATAACTTTCTTCGATGCGCTGCGTGGTCCACGAAGTGTTTACGAGAGTGGAGACAGATCCTAATGCTGCAGAGGTGAAGCTTCCAAACGAGCATGAAGAAATGCAGCTGAAATGAACGCACCTGAAATGCCATGAAATGAGTGGGATCATTTTCGCGGTTATTTGGCACAATAACAATGATAATTGGTGGTTATTTGAACAAAGCAAAATTACAATTACGACTATGTTGACAAAACAGTCATTGTTTGACTTCAAACTCAATTTTCATATTGTACACATTGGCAGGATGGTAGAATGGTGATTCCATTACAAAATTAATTTTGAAATTGTACACTTGTCTAATGGTGGGCTATATTGACTTGATGTAAAACTCAATTCTCCAAAACCATGAATCCCGGCTAGACAGGCGCTTAAAAAAAATTCAAACTTGGTGGGTCACGTGAACTACCAAGACCCACTGTGGGTCCGCCCCTGTTGCCGTCCACTACTACATGTATACGTATCTAATTTTGTCGATGCTGGAGTTGACTATGGTTGGACTTAGCAGTGGCTAGAAACCTACATATCTTATTTTGGCGAGATCAGTATGGAAATGGGTAGGGTGTAGTGGATATACAAGATTTTTTATTTTAAAAAAAATTGTTGATACCTGATTTTTGAAATTTAAAGTTAATAAGTAGGGATTTAAGTAATTTTCCCAAAAATAAAACTAATTATCAATACAATTTTGAACCTTTTCTTTTTCAAAGTACTTTTTTATTTTATTTTAATTTCTTTATAATACATTTTGGAAAAAAAGTGTAACAACGTGTTATCTTATATTACATATATTTTGTTACCTATTTCCACCATCGCGATAATTGGAACCACCACCACCACGTATGACATTCAGTGTTACATTATTGTGTTGTTGCAGATACCACTTGCAACATTCATTGTTATCTCATTATCGTCGCTACCACTGCCGCTCATTTGTAATATTTATTGTAACATCACCACCATTGATGTAGTCGCAAACTACCACAAACCAATCAAATCTTAGATTGTCACTCCCACTACTACCACCTCTCCAAACCATCATATATACACATGCTACCATCACAACCATGTGCTTAGGGGCGAACCCATGAATGAAGTTAAGTTGGGCAGAAACCAAAAAACCTTGGAGAAAAAAATATAAAAACCTAAAAAATCTGAAGAAAAATCGGGAAATCTAAAAATTGAGTGGGGACGGTGGCCTCCACTGGTCCCCAAGTAGGTCCAACCTGCATGTGCACCACCATTACTACAGCAAACTACCTTTGTTTTCGTTTTCCTCCCTCCTACCACCTCCCTAATCACAAAAAAAAAACACATTTTCCTTTCTTCAAGATGATTTCATGTCTAAACAGATAAGATGATCGAAACCATCATTGGCTGATTCGGTTGGAAAACAAAAGAAACTGCCATGCTTTAGGTTTTTTTGAGCTTCCAAATCCTACCCCATAGGCTTCTACGCCTCATCGAGATCGACGGCTTCATGTCTTAATCCTATATGCAACTAAAAGGAAAAAAGTGGTGGCTACGGTGGTGGAAGGAGAGTGTAGTTGTAGGTAGAATTGGGATAGGAAAAGAAGAAAATGTTGGAGGTAAAAGTAAGAGGTGGCGGTCGCGTGTGTAGGAGGAGTTGGTTGTGATGGTGTTGACATAGTTGGTTGTGGACTGTGCGAGTAAAAGGAGGGTGCTAGGCATAATTTTCACAAAAATTATTGAAAATGGAATTGTCATGTTGACCCATAAAAAAGTGGGCGGTCTAGTTCAGATGGGTCCAAACTTTTAGGATGTGTTTGAGCTTGTATGGAAAGAAAATAAATTATAAACAATTGAGTCAATTGTTTAGAATTTATTTGCATGTAAATTATTAATTAAATTTATCTGATTGGTTTAATTTTTAACTTAAAAATGTTGTACTTGTTGATTTTTTATTGATAGGTAGATGAGGGAGGGGGAGAGAGAGAGGGCGAATGAATTGTCTGAAAAATAAAAATCCACCTCTCCCTAAATAAAATGTTTTTCTTATTTTTGAAGAAAATATGATCACATGACCAATTTTTGAAAAAATGTATTATGTGGAAAAAAAAATATCAATCAAAGACCCCCAAAAGTAGAAACTTGACATTTTACATAATAAAATAATTCCAATCAAATACACTCTTATCATTATTTTTTGTGAAAATTAGGATCTATACCTATTCATATTTAGTAAATCGAAATATGCAAGTTTTAATATTTTGAAAAGTGCTGACAAACTTATAAAACTCATTGATGATTACTAGAACTATAAATTATAAATTATAAATATTTTTGATCATTTTATTAATTCCGAAATTAAAGGCACGTGTAACACTGAAATTATTCATTTTTCAAATCAAGGCAGAGCAAAAAAAAAATTTCCTTGAAAATACAAGGCACGCATTAATTATGGTTTGGCAATAGTGAATATTACGTGAATTGTTTTCAGATTTAGTTTGTTATTATAGAATTAATTATTTATAATTATAAAAATATTAGTTATTGTTTTTAAAAATTGAACGTGAAAACTTTTCACGTTTAAGTTTCTAAGTATTTCTCACATTTTTTATATATTTATATAGATTATGTAGATAATTATGTTGAGCAATGATTTTTTATTGGGAAAATTGCAGTCATGGTACCAAACTTTTAACTTTTTTGCAGACTTTACCCAAACCTTTGATTTGTGCCACAAACGGTACCAAACCTTTCAAAAATATGTACCGGAGGTCCGAATGGATGGTTTCCATCCCGTTGACCGTTAGTTGACCAAAAAAGTCAAAATTGACCAAATTCATTAAGAACAAAATGGTAACTTTACATTTTTTTCATATAAAATAATTATAAAGAAAAGAAAATAATTAAAAAAGCTAGCCACCCCACACCACCCAACCTCGATTTCTCTTCTCCAGCCAACAACAGTGCGGCACACCATCGGCACCTCCACCACCTTTGTGCCGGCACAAACCCGTGAACCCACACCCCCACAGTATCTACCATTTCTTCCTCAAAAAGGGGAGTTTGGGCACTTGGGTTTTCCGAATCTACAGAGAATTCCCACAATGACCCACAATGAATCCTGCCATCACCAACAGTGGAAGCAGGAACCTCTGAAGAAGGTAACTTTGAAGCGAATTCACTCACATGCTTCTCAGTCTTAGATGGTTTGAAGACAATAACCTCCTTCCCAATCCGGACCACATTTGCAAGAGCCTTTCCAGCTACAATAATCCTTTGAATGCGGGCTTTATTTTCCTTATTGCCACCATCGCTTCCAATAATATGCTTCCATTGAGAATGAGCAGAAGAATTTACAGAGAATTCTCGAATTAGGGCTTGCAATTCGGGTTTGGGTTCACGAGTTTGCTGAGGTTGTGGTGGGGGAGAAGGCGACGACAGTCGTTGTGGAGGGAGGAGGAGGCGGTGGAGGCCAGAGCATTCTTGAATCTGGGTGGAGGCTAGAGCGAAAGTCGGGGGAAGAGGAAGAGGACGGGCTAAGAAGGAAGAGGCGACGCCGACGCCGGCTGGTGGTGGTTGAAGCAGTTTTGGATGGTTTGAGGAAGAAGACGACTCTTTTGTTTTTGTTTTTCTTTTTTCTTTTCTAATTACTATAATTATTTTATATGAAAAAAATGTTAACTTACCATTTTGGCCATAATGAATTTGGTCAATTTTGACTTTTTTGGTCAACTAACGGTCACCATACATTCGGACCTCCGGTGCATATTTTTGAAAGGTTTGATACCGTGGGTGGCACAAATCAAAGGTTTGGGCAAAGTTTGCAAAAAACTGAAAGATTTGATACCGTGACTGCAATTTTTCCTTTTTTTATTCGAATTAGCATTGGAAACAAAACAATGTCAAATTGTGTAATTGTTTACAGAAAGTACAAAATTAGTTCCACCAAAAAGCATTACATTCCATTGTTTTTGGAATTAAATGATTCAACAGTCACCCAATTTTGGGTATTGTAACGGATCACTCATCGAAATTTAGAATGTTTTTCATTGGTCATTCGACTTTAGGTTGTAGCTCTTCATCACTCACCGAACAAATTCCATTTGGTTATTAGTCTACGTGGCTAACGAAATTCCTACATGACACTTCATTCCATCCAGAATTTAAATCAAACAGCATCATGGATGTCAGCTCATGAAATCATGCTAACACCAAACACGCCTTCCTGTTTTTGAAACCAAAACACGTCTTCATAAATCAAAACCCAACAAATTTGCCAAAGTCTGGAAATAGAATCAAAATGCCTCCCAAATTCAACTATGTCCTCAACGAGATTTTTGTGGCTTTTAAAAATCCTTCTATATTCAAGTTTCTCAATTGAGATTTTAATAAATTTTAATGAAATCCATTAAAATCTAGGGGCTCTTTTCGTTTGTTTTTCAGTTTTGAGTTTTGAGTTTATTTTCAATTTTCTATTTTGAGGATCTATTTAAAATTACTAAAAATGACTTTGGATTGTTATTTTAAAGAATTATTTCTCAAAATAAAAATAAAAAAATTGAAAAACTAGTTCATTCAAAATTTTAATTTTTTATGATATTTTGTTCCATGAAACATGATCATTCAGTAAAATTAAATAAATTTATATTAATATATTATCAAGTAATATTTACATTTTAAAGTTGGTGAATCTTTAAAATTAAAATTAATGATGTGGACTAAGGATGTTTTTATTTAATATTTTTGTTTAAATTTTTTACGTAAATAATAATTAAGAGCTTGAACTATTTATTTTTCTAGAAATTTTTATAACTTTATTTAATTTTTAGATTTTTTTTTCAAATTTAGAATTCTATATTTTACTTTTTAAAATTTTATTTAAAATATTTTCTGAATTTTCACATAAAACATCAAAATTGCATTTTGAGTTTTATGTTATAAATTTAATCCCCGTTTGGGCTCCATTTTTAGAAAATGTTTTTTTTCTCTCTCTTATCTTTCACTATTTTCTCCAATAAATAATGTTACATGTAAATCAAAAAAGATATATATATTTTTAGCTATAAATTCTCCAAAAAATCATTATTCCAAATATATATTTTTCTCTAAAAACCATTTTTAATAGACCCCCAACAGGGGCTAAATCTTATTTTTGAGAATGCATTTTTTAAAATACCAAATCAAACATGTTTTCAAGTGAAAACTAACAATGGTTTGAAAACAAACAAACTAAACGCACCCTCAATATCCACGACTAAGATTTTAATAAATTTAAGTTAAATCCTTTAAAATCTAGGTATCATCAATAACTCATTGATTTTAAGGAATTTCATTAATAAAAATTATTTTAAAAGATTTAGGTGAATTTCAAGTTCAATGATACATATAACAAACTCTTTCAAACTTTATTATTTTCATGTTTTTATTCAAAAAAGGATAAAATGGACATTTTAAATAATTTTTGATTATTTAACAGTCAAATGAAGCCAATGTTTGTTATGAATCAAAATTCGATTTTAATCTAAATTAAAGTCAACAATTAATTTTAATAACATATTTTTATGGGATGAATGACTTTTCAATCACACTTCATCAACTTGTGTCAAAATCTACTAATAATTTAATTTTAATTCCCACCTAATAGAGGCTAATTGTTTTCTTATCAAGGGGACCATGCTTGCATGTTTTTTTCCTATTGACTAACAGCAACTCTGGGTATTCATAACTTTCTTCGACGGGCTGGCGTGGTCGACGAAGTGTTCACAAGAGTGGAGACAGATCTCGCTGCTGCAGAGGTGGAGCTTCTAGACCAGCATGAAGAAATCGCAGCTGAAATGAACGTACCTGAAATGCAATGAAATGAGCGGGATCGTTTTCGGGATTATTTGGCACAACAACAATGATAATTGGTGCTTATTAGAATGAAGCAAAATCACAATTACGACTATGTTGACATAATGGCCATTGTTTGCAATGTTTGTCGTTTCCGGGAAGTGGAAAAGTAAAAAAAATATATTATGAATAATAATAAAGGTGCATTGGTAGCAGGGTTGTGTGAAAAATGGTGAATCTTATGACATTCAAAATTCATGAAAATGGAATACTTTCCAATGATGGGCCACCATGAAATTGACTTCAAAATCAATTTTCATATTGTACACGTTGGCAGGAGGGTAGAATGGTGATTCCATTACAAAAATAATTTTGAAATTGCACACTTGTATAATGGTGGGCTATATTGATTTGATGTAAAAATCAATTCTCCAAAACCATGAATCTCGGCCAGACAGGCGCTTAAAAAAAATTCAAACTTGTTGGGTCATGTGACCCACCAAGGCCCACTGTGGGTCCGCCCCTGCTACCATCCACTACTACATGTATACGTATCTAATTTTATCGATGCCGGAGTTGACGATGGTTGGAGTTGGAAGTGTCTAGAAACCTACGGACCTTATTTTGGGGAGATCGGTATGGAAATGGGTAGGGTGTAGTGGATATACAAGATTTTTTATTTTAAAAAAAAGTATTGATACCTGATTTTTGAAATTTAAAGTTAATAAGTAGGGAGTGAGGTAATTTTCCCAAAATAAAACTAATTCTCAATACAATTTTGAACCTTTTTCTTTTTCAAAGTACTTTTTTATTTTATTTTAATTTCTTTATAATACATTTTGGAAAAAAAAAAAGTTTAACAATGTGTTATCTTATATTACATCTATTTTGTTACCTATTTCCACCATCGCGATAGTTGGAACTACCACCACCACGTGTGACATTCAGTGTTACATTATCATGTTGTCGCAGATACCACTTGCAACATTCATTGTTATCCCATTATCGTGGCTACCAATGCTTTTCAATTCGTAATATTTATTGCAACATCACCACCATTGATATAGTTGCAAACTACCACAAACCAATCAAATCTTAGATTGTCGCTCCCACCACTATCGCCTCTCCAAACCATCAGATATACACATCCTACCATCACAGCCATGTACGTAGGGGCGAACCCAAGAATGAAGTTAAGTGGTGGTGAAACCCAAAAACCTTGGAAAAAAAAATCTAAAAACCTAAAAATCTGAAAAAATCTAAAGAAAAATTGGGAAATCTGAAAATTGAGTGGGGGCGGCGGCCCCCACTGGTCCTCAAATAGGTTCGTCCCTTCATATGCACCACCGTCACTATAGCAAACTACCTCTATTTTCGTTTTCCTCCCACCTACCACCTCCCAAATCACAAAAACACATTTTTCTTTGTTCAAGGTGATTTAATGTCTATACGGAGAAGATGATCGAAACCATCATTGGCTGATTCGATTGGAAAACAAAAGAAACTGTCATCATTTGTGAGCTTCCAAATCCAACCCCATAGGCATGGGCGAACATAGGGGGGCAAGTTCCCCCCCTCCCAACATTTGAGATTTTTTTTTATATATAAAATAATGTTTGGTATCAATTGAAATCTAAATTTTAATCTAAATCAAAGTTAACAATTAACTTTAATAACATATTTCATAGAATCCATAACAATTTTAACTTTTATCAAAATGTACTAAAAATTTGATTTTAATCTCCACAAAATAGGGGTAAAATCACAATAAATTTGAATTTCAAGAACATGCTAATTAAAAATTCTCCAACGATCGTACGCTAATCAAATCTAACAAATTGTTTATGTCATCTCAAAACTTATTTTGAGAACTACATTATAGACATATCGAATAATCCAAAGAGATATTGAAAATAGTTAAAAATACGTTAAACGTGAGTATTAAAAAAAGATGTCTAACTCGCATTTTTTTAAAACAATCAATTATTTTATTAACATTTATTATTTTTGCTATACAAATTTCTCAATGTAATTTTCATAATTCTATTAGGAAATTTTATATGGAATATGACATAAAAAATTTTCGAAATTTTACATCTGAAAATTCATATCCCATGTAAATTTTCGGATGTAAAATTACATAGGGTATGATTTTTTTAGAAGTAAATTTTTTATTGTAAAATTTCTACCAACTTCTTTGCAAGTTCGATTGTGTCCCCCTACTTTTAAGATCTGTGTCCGCCCCTACCCATAGGCTTCGATGCCTCATCGAGATCGACGGCTTCATGTCGTAATCCTATATGCAACTGAAAGGAAAAAAGTGGTGGAAGGAAAGTGTAGTTGTGGGTAGCATTGGGATAGGAAAAAGAAGGAAGGGTAGGAGGTAAAAATAAGAGGTGGCGGTCGCGTGTGTAGGAGGAGTTGGTTGTGATTGTGTTGACAAAGTTGGTTGTGGACTGTGCGAGTAAAAGGAGGGTGCTGGGCATAATTTTCACAAAAATTATTGAAAATGGAATTGTCATGTTGGCCCATAACAAAGTGGCGGTCAAGTTCAGATGGATCCAAACTTTTAGGATGTGTTTGAGCTTGTATGGAAATAAAATAAATTATAAACAATTGAGTCAATTGTCTAGGATTGATTTGCATGTAAATTATTAATTAAATGTATTTGATTGGTTTAATTTTTAACTTAAAAATGTTATACTTGTTCATTTTTTTATTGGTAGGTAGATGAGGGAGAGAGGACGAAGGAATTGTCTAAAAAAATAAAAATCCACATCTCCCTAAATAAAATGTTTTTCTTATTTTTGAAGAAAATATGATCACGTGACCAACTTTTGAAAAAATATATTATGTGGAAAAAAATATCAATCAAAGACCCCCAAAAGTAGAAACTTGACATTTTACATAATAAAATAATTCCAATCAAACACACTCTTATCATTAATTTTTGTGAAAATTAGGATATATACCTATTCATATTTAGTAAATCGAAATATGCAAGTTTTAATATTTTGAAAAGTGCTGACAAACTTATAAAACTCATTGATGATTACTAGAACTATAAATTATAAATATTTTTGATTATTTTATTAATTCCGAAATTAAAGGCACGTGTAACACTGAAATTATTCATTTTTCAAATCAAGGCAAGAGCAAAAAAAAAAAAAAATTCCTTGAAAATACAAGGCGCGCATTAATTATGGTTTGGCAATAGTGAAATGTTACGTGAATTGTTTTCATCCAAGATTTAGTTTGTTATTATAGAATTAAATATTTATAATTATAAAAATATTAGTTATTGTTTTTAAAATTTGAACGTGAAAACTTTCCTCGTTTAAGTATTTCTC